TATAACCATTATTCAGTGGAGAGCAGTTGAAAATGTATTAGCCCAAAGAGTACTGAGGTCACTTCAGTTTCAACAATGAGGAATTCAAGGCATCAGGAAATGCAAGTTATGAAAGCCCTCTTTTGTTCCCTCTGTATCTCAGCTTCTAGCACATCAGGTCCGCCGAAGTCATACAGTCAATATTTGTTGAATTAATAATAGACAAAGAGACTTGCCCTATCTGCTTCAACCAATGCAGGCATGTACAAGTATATACAGGTACAAGGTCTGATCAAACAATACGGTGAATGTTTAAATTAAAAAAAAAATTATTACAGTAAAAGATACATTGCTATTAATCCCCCTCAAAATATTGCCCCTCACTTCGAACACACTTATTCCATTGTTTTTGCCACTTTCTGAAGCAGTTCTGGAAGTACTCTTTAGTTGCGCTGTTGTGGCTGCCTCGATGTCCTGAATTGATTCAAAACGTTTACCTTTCATGGTCATTTTGATTTTGGGGAAGAGCCAGAAGTCTCACGGTGCCAGATCAGGTGAATAAGGTGGGTGAAGACACACCTTAATGTTTTTATTTGACAGAAATTGCCATACCAGAAGCCATGTGTGACGCAGAGCCTTTCCATTGTGATCACAAAATATGGTGAAGGCTGCTGCCGAGAGCCATCCAACAGAAAGGCAGGATCTTCAATATGGGAAGCAGCGCATCGAGCCTTAGTAACAACATGTGACAAGTTTCAACTTGTTCAGTGCAGTCAGCAGGGTGTGAGCTACGGTTGAGAGAAGGTGTGTTTTAAAGTGTCCCGGAAATCATCTTCCATTGTGACAATGATCTGCATCACACGTCACTTCTGGGACGGCAATTTCTGTCAAATAAAAACATTTGGTATGTCTTCATCCACCTTATTCACCGGATCTGGCACCGTGAGACTTCTGGCTCTTCCCCAAAGTCAAAATGACCATGAAAGATAAACATTTTGAATCAATTCAGGACATTGAGGCAGCCACAACAGTGCAACTAAAGACACTCACAAAAGAGGACTTCCAGAACTGCTTCAGAAAGTGGCAAGAACAATGGGATAAGTGTGCTCGAAGTGTGCGGGAAGTGGAGGAGTATTTTGAGGGGGATTAATGGCAATGTGTCTTTTACTGTAATATTTTTTTTTTTAGTTTAAACATTCACCGTATATTTTGATCACACCTCAGTGAAAAAGAATGAATTGACAAGGGACAGACCACTAAATGAGTGTTCTTGATACACCTCCATCCTGCCTCTCCTGTCGCCATCCACATCTCAGTACACACCCTCTTAACTGCTCACTAAAACCCCAAGCACATCCAATCCATTAGTGAGGCCTATTGCCTTTATCTATCCACACATTGAATCTTTCTACCATCAGCCTCTTTCTCCCTCCTCTTATCCTCACCTTACTCCAGCCATGTGAATCTCTATTCTCTTCCTCCAACATCAAGCTTGCTGCTGCCTGCCTGCCTGTCTGGCTACCTCCTGTCATTCAAGTCTCAGCCCAGAGGCCCTCCCTAACCACCTGACTCCTCCCTAGACCTTCCCCTGTAAGTATCCAGCCAGCCACTGTCTCCTATCATCCCCTTTACTCTCAGCAGAGCACCCATGACTCTGATTTTTTTTGGCTTATCTGTGTACAGCCTGCCCTCCCCCTGCTTCACCCCTCCACCCCCCACTAACTGCCTCATCTGAGGTGAGGGCCAGGCCTCACCTGTCTTATTTGGGCACATCTCCCATCCTGCTGCAATTATTTCTTATTTGTCTTTAAATCAATAGCTCCTAGAGCAGTGCCTGGTACAACACAGACACTCAACAAATATTTGTTTCATTTAATATTTAATTATCTAAAGCTACCCTTACTGGTTATCAGACAATTGGTATCAACCTTATTCACCCTTGAATTTGACTTAGAGGACTTTGTAAACTGTTAGGTGCCAATTTTGTGTAGATTACTGTTGGTATTTTTATCACCTGACTCTGTAGCCATAGCAAGGCAGAGTCACCCAATTCATTTTCATCTTTATCCTGGAAATCGTCCACCACCCAGGCCCTGGTGAAGGTGGAGGAAAGATGGGTAGGAATGAACTACATTGCAAAGCCCAGAGATCAGTTCCATTTAATAGTCATTTATTGGATCTTTACCCGGTACAAGCCCAATGCAAAACAGAGGGTACAAGGCAATAAGAAATAGGGACCCTGATGGGAGAGTGCTGTAATAAAGTCCTGTATCAAATGCTGTGGGAACACAGGTTGGAAGGGCACAAGGAAGGGGGCTCTAATGTGTGAGCCAGACACTGTCCACCAGAAGTCTAATTTCATCCTCATAGAAGCACTTGGAAGTACAGTAATACCTTGGTTTGTGAATATAATTTGTTCCAGAAACAAACTACTCATATTGCAAGACATCGCGCGTTTACCAAGTTAAAATGTATTAGAGGGCCAGCCGAGTGGCTCAGTTGGTTAAGAGTTGGCTTAAGAGGGCAAGCTCTGAGCAACGGGACCACTGATTCAATTCCCACATGGGCCAGTGACGCTGCACCCAAGCTGAGCTGTAGCTGAGCTGCCAACAGGTGGCAGAATGGCTCAGTTGGTGTTACAACAAGATTGTCTGTTCAATCTAAGACTGAACTAAGACTGAACTCGGCACCTTGAGCTGAGCTGCCGCCCGGATGACTCAGTGGATAGAGCGCGTGCTCTTAACAACAAGACTGCTTGTTCGACTCCCACATGGGATGGTAGCTACGCCCACCCGTAACTAAGATTGAACACAGCACCTTGAGCTTAGAAGCCACCAGCTGCCAATAGGCAGCCAGATGGTGACTGGCGCTCTCTACAGCGAATATTGAAGAATAACAACTTGGCTAGCCCCCTTCCCCAATTCCCCAATAAAATCTTAAAAAAAGAAAAAAGTATTAGAAATATTTGCTCATCTTGTGGAACACTTGCAAACCAAGGTTTTACTGTAGATGTATTTTTCCCACTTTCAGAGGATAAACCTGAAGCTCAGAGAGGTTAAGTGTCTTACCCAAAGGCTCACAGTTAATAGGAGGCAGAGCCTATATTACAACTCACCTCCTGGAGACTCGAGATGGGCTTTCTCTGCTACATCACCCAGCCACCCATGGCCTATGTCACCAAAGGGCAACGCCAGGCATGTCCCTTCAGTGGGCTACAGGGTTTGGGAAAAGAAGAACTCCTTCTCCCAGTGACTATGTCTGCTATGCTCAGCCATGGGAGCAGCACTACCCAGGGACCTCCCTATATCTAATCCGGGGCACTCACCCAGGGGTTAGAAGACACCCTCTTCCTCCAAAATGGGACTGGAAAAGTTCCCAGCTGGAAATGTTCAGGGTCCCGCGGTTTTTCCACCCACCATTGGAGCTGTCAGAACCTCAGCACAACAGTAGGCAAGTCCCTGGGCGGAGACCTGGAGTTTGGGCAGACCTGCTGCTCCCTCAGCCTGGGGATTACAGGCCCCGTACCAGGCTGGGAAAGGGAAGAAGAGAGATTTCTGGAAGGCAAGAGAGCAAGGGAAGGGTTCAGAGGGCGTGAACATTGGCAGCACCTTCCCCTTTAACCTTTGCCTTGCAGAAAGTGGGAGCATGCTCTCTGTATGCGAGCCTTTGTGCGCGTGGCTCTTGTGTGGGCCCCTCCACGGCTGTCTGCACAGACTGCACACAGGAAGTGGTGTGACTAAGTGGAAGAACAGAGTCTTGCGTGTATTTTGTGTATGTGTGTCGATGGTGATCTATCTAAGACTACACTCACAGAAATACCATAGTGCTCTGGTGGTTTGGTGGTTTTGTCTATTTGTTTTATTAGGTATAACATACATTCAATAAAGTACTCAAATCTAAAGTATACCACTCAATGGAATTTTACACATATGTACCCCCCTATATAGCCAACACTTAGATTAAGGCCTGGAAGTTTTCCAACATTTCAGAAAGCTCCATTATGTTCCTTCCAATAACCGCCCTCACCTCCCCAGTGGGACCCACTATTCTGACATCTATCACCATAGATTAATTTTACCTTTTAAACTTCACATAAACGAAATCATACAGAGAATGCTTTTTTGTGTCTAGTTGTCTTCCCTTCATTATTATGTCTGGGAGTCATCCATGTGTCATTGCATTTAGCATTAGTTTATTCTTGTTCGTTGCTGAATTATATTCCATTATATGAATATACCACAATTATTTATCCACTCCACTAGTGAATGATGTTTGGGTGTTTCCAATTTTTAACTATTATGAATGGAGCTACTACAAATATTCACATACAGGGTTCTTTTGCTTCACATATGCACTCGTTTCTTTGGCTATAATTGCTGTGTCATGGAATCATAGAATAATCACATGTTTAGCTCTAGTTGATTCAGCCAAACAATTTCCCAAAGTATTTGTACCTATTTACACACCCACCAACAATGCATGAGAATTCCAGTTGCTCCACATCCTCTTCAACACTTAGTATTGTTAACCTTTTTAATTTTAGCCATTCTGGTGCTTATGTAGAGATATGTCATTATGGTTTGAATGTGCATTTGTCTGATGAGTAATGATATTGAACGTCTTTTGCCACTTATTGGCCACTGGATTATCCCCTTTTGTGGAGTATCTATTCCAGTGTTTACAGAGCTACATCTGTAATCGTGAATAAATAATTGACAAAACAGACAGTAGAACAGAATCATCTCAAGAAACTCAGCAACACACAACAACTCAGCAACCAGTCATTTCTACAATTGCTAACCATTTGCTACAATTAGTAAACTAATTGCACCAGGCCATATATATGTATAACTGAATTTTGTATTTTGAACCAATTATTTGGATATCACAGAGACTCTCCTACTTAGATTCATCAGGGAGAAGGGAACGCAGACAAGAACCAAGAGCCTCCCCTGGGTTGTTAGCCCCAAAATGAGAGGTTCCCTCCCTCAACTCACTGACTGTTTTTCCTTCAATTACAGGATCCTGACAGTGATCAACCCCTGAACAGCCTTGGTAAGATCAGGTCTGGCTTTCCTTTGTCTACCTCAGCCTCTGAGTTTCAATCAGTTACCAAATATATACTAAACACTTTTTGCACAGCCTCACCACCACCGCCAAATGCTAAATGCTGTAGGAGACATCCATCCACCCATCCGCCCATCATTCAACAAACACTTATTAAGCAAGTATAAGATCCAGGATTCATTCTAAAAGTAGGAGGCATGGTCTCTGGGGAAATAGGACCAACCAACCTAAAATCCCAAGAGCAGTGATTCTCCAATTCATTCATTCAGTTACTCATTCTCGCATTCATTGAACAACACTGTGAGTGCCTGCCATGTGCTAAGCTCTGGGATGGGTGCTGGGCTACAGCAGTAAATAAGACAGCCGAAGTCCCTGCCCTCATGGAATTTACATTCTGACCATGCTTTCAAGAAACAAGCTGGACAAAATGTTTTCATTGGTAGAATAGAAAATGGCAGTGTTTGTCTGACTTACAGGAGAAAAGTAAGTTAACACATAAAGTGTTCCCAAAGTTAAGGATTTTCTTCCCTCCCATGCCATTTTCTTAATCCGCTAATACCTACTCCTGATAGCCTGCTGGATCAGCAAAATGAGTGAGCAAAGAACAAACTAATACGACAGCTCAATAAGAAAATGACCAATCCCACTTAATTTGATAGCTTATTTATTTCAGAGTTGCAAGTTAATCATTATCACAAAAAATGTAATCTTCAGCAAGTGAAATGATGCCTAGTTTATGCTTTAGAATTTCATATATCAATAGACTATGGTGTCCCCAAAAGCACACCAGACATCCCAATGCTCCCTCACCTGAGTAAGCCTGAGAACTGCCAAGCCAGAAAACAAGTTAAGTTTGCTACCAGTTCCCTAGGGTGAGGGCCCTTTTTAGCGAGGCTAAATTACACTGGCTTTGAAAGCTCTGAGTAGAGTATGGTCCAGATATGGAAGTTATGGGGAGCCCCTGAAGGTTCTTGAGCAGGGGCGTGGCAGGATGAAAGCTCTGTCTGGCAGCAGTGGGCAGGACTAGATGGAGGAAGGAACCAGTGGCAAGTAGGGAGGCTAATCATGCTCAGTGGATTCATTAACTTAAATCAAGTATGAGACAATAAACCAAGAAAACCCTTTCCTTCATGATGATGTTCTTCCTGAGAACACCAGAGAGGCAGAGACATCAGGCCCTGGACATGGGAACTCATCAAGGGGCTCGCAATAGGTCATTCATCTTGAGTAAACAAGCCAACCTCTTGTCCCTAGAGGTAGGTGCTCAATAAATAAATCATGCACGAATGAATAAACAAAATGTCACCATGTCCATGGCCACAGAAAAGAAGACAGTTCTTTTTTTTTTTTTTTTAAAGATTTTATTGGGGAATTAGGGAACGGGAACAGTGCTGGGGAATGGGGGGAGGGGAACAGACAAATTGCTGTCCTTTTGTTCTTCAGTCTAGTTGTGGAGGGCGTTGCTTCACTGGCCCATGTTGGTATCATCATTGCGCTCTTCCCAGGTGAGGCAGATCAGTCGCCAGCCTCTGGACAGCCGCTCACGGCTGCTTTTGGCAGCTCACGCTGGCTACCGGCCACACACGGTAGCTTATGGCAGCCCACTGCAGCTTCACTGCAGCCTACACCGTCACCAGCGACTCACGGCAGCCCAGCTCCAGGTCGAGCTGTTGTTCACCATCTTAGCTGTAGAGGGCAGTGTCACTGGCCCTCATGTGGGATCTGAACCAGGGCCCTGGTGCTCAGAGTTGGCGTCCCAAACCAACTGTTAACCAACACGCCACTCGGCCAGCCCAAGAAGAGAGTTCTTAAAGCTGAAACTTTAAAAACAATATCTGCTACCATTATTGATAACCTATTTTGTGTCAGGTCCTGATAATGACAGGAAATACAAGCCCACACCCCCCAGGACCCAAGCCCTGTGTCTGAGGTTTAAACTCTCCCTTTTGAGAGAACACGAAGCTTCCTCCACTTTCCCTATCAACAGATTCAATGATATCAGCACTTATCAGGCACCAGGACCTGGAAGGGTGCCATTCTCTGCTTTTGAAGAGCTGAAGAAAGAGACCAAGACAGACATAACTAGCCATCATCATTAAAGGCAGAATAAAACGAGACCTATAACAAAGATGGAAAGGATGTGTTTAAGAGAACAAGCAAAGAGCAATTTTTTTATTCATTCAACAAATATTTTTTGAGTGCCTACTAGAGACCATGCACTGTTCCAGACACCAGGGTCTCAGCAGTGAATAAAACAGACAAAAATTCCTATCTTCATGGAGACTTCATGTCAAACAGGAATGGGAGGGGACAGAAAAGATACAAAATAGGTAAAACACAGAGTACGTTAGAGGTGATAAGTGCTTTGGAAAAAAAAAACAGGAAAGGAGGATAGGAAATGTTGGAAGATTGCATTTTAAATAGGGAGGTCAAAGAAAGCATCACTAAGAAGGTGACATTTGAAGAACATTTTGAAAGAAGTTAGGGAGCAAGCCATGTTAAGGTGAGGGGGAAGAGAGAAGCCTATTGTTTTCTAGAGAGTCTCAGGATTCCGATACCTCCTGACTTAGTTCACCCTGAAAAAGTCCCTGCGGCACCTCCCCAGCTTATTGCCAGCAAGGAACGGGGACACAGAGGGACCGGTCTCTAATACTTCTTCAGAATTTAACTTGTCAAAGCTCTGCCCATGTACCATCTCCTATGATCACCATGTGAAATGGACAATACAGTTGCTCGTATCTCTACTTTAGGCATCGATAGGCTCCTACCCGGTCTCCAGAGCCCCGGACTCTTTTTCTTCTAATCCGTCTCCTCACTGATAAAAAGATGCATCTTGCTAAATATTAACATGATCCTATGTCTCTGCTGCTCAAAGCTTTCTCTTCGCTGCCTTCAGGATAAAATCCAAACCACTAGCATGGTATTCAAGACTCTCCACCAACTGACTTCGCCAGTCCTCCCTCCACAACATGCTTTTACCCACCAGGCACACCAGGAACTCACAGTCCCCACCCCCAGGCCTTTGCCAGCTGGTGCCAGCTCTCCCATCTCCACCTATAGAGGCCCGTTTAAGTGCTTTGATGGCGTCTGGCGGTGCTGGCAACTGTGTCCCTGTTTGCCTCCTCCCCCAAATTGTAATCTCCCTAAAGACAGGGGCCATTCTAGAGACTTGCTGTTTGTTGAACTGAATGGGAGATGGGAGCCATTGGGATGCATTCACTCACAGGTATTTATTAAGCATCGATTAAGCACACACTGTGACGGAGGCTCTGCCTTCCTTGAGCTTACAGTTTCATCAAAAAAGTCAGGAAAGAGGATCAATGATAGTAAAATGAAGGGGTACGTGCCTCACCCAGAGCAGATGCAGGTCAGAGCAGACAGGGTGAAACATCTTAGAACAGGCTGAGGCAAGGCAAGGGGAAGAGGCCATAGTCTGGAGGCTTATTTGAAATGGATAATGGATCTCATGTGAAATGGGTAAGCCTGGGTAAGTGAAAGGCGGTGGGGTAACCATGTGCTGATGAAACTAAGCCCAGTCTGAAGGAGTAACCCCCCCAACACTAACGGAAATTCTCCCCGAAGCATTTCTGTAGCTTAGCGCTACAGTGGTGGGGGACGGAGGGCCAGAGGGCAGGGAGTCTGTGGGCTTTGACAAGGGTGGTCTCCAAGTGCTGACTGCAGGCTCTTCCCCTCCACTTCGCAGATGTCACCCCCATGCGCAAACCCCACACTCCCCTGGAGACCTTCAAAAAAGTGGGGATCCCCATCATCGCAGCACTGCTAAGCCTGGCAACCATTGTCATCATGGCTGTCCTCAGTAAGTGGCAGCCCCCAACCCCACCCCCTCATTACTGTCCCCACTAAGTAAGTGCCAGCTGCCATTCACCCCTCTCCTGCCCTCTCCTCAGAGCACACTCTCACCCCCTGTCTTTCCACCCCATCAGAGTCATAGGCTGGTATTCTGCACAATGCTTTGTATCTATAATACCGGTATCCATCCCCTGCTTGGAAGGGAGCTTTCCTCTAAGAGTTAAAGGAGAAGATGAACTCAGTCCCCATTTTTCCCAGATGATTTCTTCTACAGGTAGAGCACGGTTGTACACATTCCAACCCCTCAGGCAATTAGCATAGGCAGGCACATCCCCTGCCTCCTCTATCCCATGTCTGCAGGCTGGGAGCTCAGCGGATCCAAGCAGCTCTACTGGCTAGAAGAGCAGGTAGCATTTCTGCTCATGAGGAGAGGATAAACAGAGGGGGCACTGGGAAACGACCACCCGGGCAGACAGCACCCTTCCCCACCTTTAGCTCTGTCTTCATCATGGCCAGTGACTGAGGCCCAGTGAGATCTTGGGCAGGCCACTCTGTGACAAAGAAGAGTAACGTGAATGAGCAGGGATTCCCACGGTCCCTCCCTTGCAGTGCCGACATCAAGTCCTTGCCTTCTTCTCCCCCGTAGTTACAGCAGGTTACCAACCACAGCTTTCACACAGGGAGTAGAGCAAAGGGGCCAGACTAGGAAGCAAGAAACCTGGGATGGGGATCCTGGCTCTGCCACTTGCTGCTGTGTGACCTTGAGTAAGTTCCTCAACCTCTCTTAACTTCGATCTCCTCATCTATAAAACATCATGCTTCCCTCAGAAGGACATCAGAGAACCAACGCGATAAAGTGTATAAAGAACCTGGATAAAAACTAGGTTGTGCAAAAGTGTGGGCCATCAAGCAGCGTACAGAGATGTAATTGAGGCCACGCATTTGCTAACTGGCCAGGATGGGCCTTTCAGGAGCCTACACTTGTAGCTGTGGTGGTATTTCCACCAGCAACAGCCACCACCTCGTTGGTGGACACTCAGGGATCATCTGGTCCAATTCCACATTCCCCAATTGAGTACCAGGCTCAGAGAGGAGGCATGGCAGCTGGAACACCTGGATCAGGCCCCAAAGCTCCCAGTTGAGCAGGTCCGTTTCCACATGTGGTGATGGAAATGCTGATCCACAATACGAACACCACTGAGATCCCTGAGAGTCCTGAAAGGGTATGAGATGCAGAAAACCCGAAATAATTTCTTCTGGACCTTGATTGGCCCAAAGTGGTGTTGGGTTTGCAGCAGCATCAGCAGATTTGCCATCCTAAGCTTGTTTTGTTCACATTAATATTAAGATGAGCGTGCTTCCTCTGAGCTTATGCCCCACCACAGTGGAGAGACAAGAAGATCCAAATTCATCCGGGAAGCCAGGGCAGGCACTAGTGCATAATTTAGAGTTGGGGCCTCCCTTTGTGACTTCCATGAACTGGGACCCCCAGGTTCGGCAGCTGGAGGAAGTAACTGAGCCTCCAGCCTGGGGTACCTATTGGCTTCTGGGGGTCTCAACTGGTGACACTGTGTCCTGGCTTTGTCCCAGGAGGCCGGAGTAATCCTGCCTTACTTACCCTGGCTCCTGGCCATGAACCAAATTCTGAAGGTCTAGGAACTATCTGACCTGATCCACTCAAACCAGGAGCATCGGGGCCAGCAGGTAACATCTTGAGCCCCCTCAGGGAAGTCGTGGAGAGGCAGCAAAGAGCTTTGGAGCTAGACAGACCCTGATTGAAATCCTGGCTCTACCACATAAGCGCTGTGTGGCCTTGGGAAATAAACACTAACTTCTAACTTCAGTTTCCTGATTTGTAATGCAAGTTAATAATGGCACCTGCCTCCTAAAGTTGTGGTCGAGATCACGTGAGGCAATGCATGGAAAGCATTTAGCCCTAATAAGTGGAGGCATCAGCAGACTTATTACCACGGCTTAGGACCAACCAGGAATGATGCTGGGCTGCAGATGGGGACCTCTAGGCCAAGGGATAGTTCAGTGAGGAAGTAGGAACTCTTCCTGCCAGGAGAGTTTGGAAAAGCATTGAAATATCTGTTCCCTGAGGAGTTAAAAACACTCGACTCATTCCCATCACCCAAGATAGCAAGGAACAGAATTTGAAGGCAGCAGGCAGAAGACAAAATAAAACAAAACATCAACCTCTTAATGGGTCTTTCTACCCCAGATAAAAACAAATAATTCTGGAACTGCACTTGATAGTTATGAGACACTTTCACAACCATCGGCTCACCAAATATTCTCAACTCTGTGAGGTGGTATCATCATCTCACTGTATAGATGAGGAAACTGAGCCCCAGAAAGAGGAAGTGATGGGTCTAAAGTCACACAGTATGTGGCAAAGCCAGCACTCAGGTCTTCAGACTCCAGGTCCAGTGTGTCTCCTCCATTACCAGAGGCAATGTGCCAGCACCTGGGGGTAAGAGGCTAGTGGGGGCTGTTTCTAAATTTGTCCCACACACATTATCTCTCTTGACTCTTCAGCCATCTTTAGATATGGGACAGGTTTATTATCTCCATTTTACAGATAAGAACACTAAGGCTCAGGACCAAGTATACCAGTCACTAAGTGGCTGAACTGGGCCTGGAACTAGCATCTGCCTGTCTCCAAACCCAGCATATTTTCAGGGAAATACAGCCTCTTCTGCTCCCGGGCTGCATGGTTGACCCTCAGCCCTCTCTACCACTTTCCTTCCCTTGCTTCCAGTCAAGATGATTCTGGACAAATACTACTTCCTCTGTGGGCAGGCTCTCCACTTCATCCCCAGGAGTCAGGTGTGTGATGGCCAACAGGACTGTGCCTCAGGAGAGGATGAGCAGCACTGCATCAAGAGCTTCCCTGATGGGCCTCCAGTGGCAGGTGAGTCCAGGGGCTGGGAGACCAGGGGAGTGGACACAGCAGGAAGTCAGCTCAGGTTCCCTTGGTCTACTGCATAGCATCTGCTGCCTGACTTGTCAGTTTCCATCCCTATTATCAGGATTTTGAGAACAGGACCACATCTTATCTACTAGATCCCAGTATGTAACATGTAGCAAACACTCAGTAAATATTCGACGAACAAATGCGAACCAGAGGGGACAGAAAATTATAAGCAAGCCTGCCCCATTTCTGCTGTGCCTGGGTGAAAATGAGGCAGAGGGTTGGGTTGGATAACCTTGGGGAGTTCCCTTTTTTCTATGAAATCTGTTATTTCAAGGGGACTAGAAAAGAGGCTAATCGGCTATTAACCAGCTATTATTGACCCTTCTACTCATTAGATAAATATTACTGTAACATGCTATGTAACAAGACTGAGCTAGGTCCTTCAAAGGAATATGAAATGTTTTTTAACATAAAAACCCGTGTTCTTTTTTGGAGTGGGCTAGCCCCACTTGATCCACCTAGTACCTGGGCTCTGAGGAGAAAAGGCAGCCCAGGACATGGGTAATGGGGGCTTTTAAGGAGCAGAGCTGAATGAATACCTGTGTATTTGCTCTTTTTTTTAAATAAGAAGTCAAATGCTTATGGACACCTACCACCCTACAGCCAATAGTACTTCTCGCTCAACCTCCGTGCTCTGTCCACACATGGAGAAGGAGCAAGGTCCCTCGTTGAGAAGTTCCCCCACTCTGGGCAAGCTGTGTGGTCCCTGGGTAGGAGGCCACATAATATATCATCAAAGCTGATACCTACAAGATCAAAAGGGGGCGCTATTAATAATGACGCCAGGGTGACAAGTCAAAATGGAGATTGACCCCAGAACATTTGATCACCCTAGTACCGTCAACATGAGTCTCAATCAGGCAAAGCCAAATGGAGGATCTTCCCTTGAGGTTGAAAGGGTTGGTGTTCTGTGATGCTCCCCAGGGTGGGGAGAGCTTGGCTGGCCTCGTGACGCATTCTGAGGGAAATGGGTCAGATGGGCCCTTGCAGCTGACCCAGCTTCCTCTCCTCCCAGTCCGCCTCTCCAGAGACCGATCCACCCTTCAGGTGCTGGACCCGCTCACAAGAAACTGGGCCTCTGCCTGTTTTGACAACTTCACAGAAGCTCTGGCCCAGACAGCCTGCGGGCAGATGGGCTTTGACAGGTACCCAGCCGAAGCCTTGGGAGACTGTCACCTCACCCCTGTGACCTCTCTTGTTCACTGTCTTCCTTCCTCTTACCCCCTTCTTCCCTCTTTCCTTCTTCTTTTTCTCCTTCCTTCCTAAAAATATAGGTGTGGGTGTCAAACAAAACTGCTTTGATCCCAGCACTTTCACTTACAAGCAAAATGAAATTCAGTCTCCTAAGCCTTGGTTTGCTCAAGAGTTAACTGGAGAAAGTAATGCCAGCTTCATGGGATAATTATGAGGTGCCAGTGAGAGAATGCATGGCCCCCACACACACAGAGAGTTCTAGCTCCTTTGCAATTGTCTCTTTTCCTTTACTCCTCACTCCTTGTCTTTTCATGACGCTGTCCCCATCCCACAAGACCAAAGTCTTATTTACTTATTCCAAATCCACTGGTTAAAATTTGGTTTAAACAAACCTAGTTTCACTGGGGCTCCATCAGCAATACCAGCTCTTTCAGCATATTCAAAAGCAGTTCCAGATCTTCAGTGATGAAAAAGTATGTAATTATCGTAAGAGTAATTAGCATTACATATTTATATTGATATTCTTCACAAAAACCAAAAAGGTAGTTATTATATCTATTTTAGAAATAGGGCTGGCCAAGTGGCTCAGTTGGTTAAGAGCTCACTCAACAGTGTGAGCTCTGAGAACAGGGTTGCTGGTTCGATTCCCAGCCTGAG